TTTCATATATTACTTCATCAGTGTAACACTTTTATATATTACTTCATCAGTGTAACACTTTTATATATTACTTCATCAGTGTAACACTTTTATATATTACTTCATCAGTGTAACACTTTTATATATTACTTCATCAGTGTAACACTTTTATATATTACTTCATCAGTGTAACACTTTTATATATTACTTCATCAGTGTAACACTTTCATATATTACTTCATCAGTGTAACACTTTTATATATTACTTCATCAGTGTAACACTTTCATATATTACTTCATCAGTGTAACACTTTTATATATTACTTCATCAGTGTAACACTTTTATATATTACTTCATCAGTGTAACACTTTTATATATTACTTCATCAGTGTAACACTTTTATATATTACTCCATCAATGTAACACTTTTATATATTACTTCATCAATGTAACACTTTTATATATTACTTCATCAATGTAACACTTTTATATATACTTCATCAATGTAACACTTTTATATATTACTTCATCAGTGTAACACTTTTATATATTACTTCATCAGTGTAACACTTTTATATATTACTTCATCAATGTAACACTTTTATATATTACTTCATCAATGTAACACTTTTATATATTACTTCATCAGTGTAACACTTTTATATATTACTTCATCAGTGTAACACTTTTATATATTACTCCATCAATGTAACACTTTTATATATTACTCCATCAATGTAACACTTTTATATATTACTTCATCAATGTAACACTTTTATATATTACTTCATCAGTGTAACACTTTTATATATTACTTCATCAGTGTAACACTTTTATATATTACTCCATCAATGTAACACTTTTATATATTACTCCATCAATGTAACACTTTTATATATTACTCCATCAATGTAACACTTTTATATATTACTTCATCAATGTAACACTTTTATATATTACTTCATCAATGTAACACTTTTATATATTACTCCATCAATGTAACACTTTTATATATTACTCCATCAATGTAACACTTTTATATATTACTTCATCAGTGTAACACTTTTATATATTACTTCATCAGTGTAACACTTTTATATATTACTCCATCAATGTAACACTTTTATATATTACTTCATCAATGTAACACTTTTATATATTACTCCATCAATGTAACACTTTTATATATTACTCCATCAATGTAACACTTTTATATATTACTTCATCAGTGTAACACTTTTATATATTACTTCATCAGTGTAACACTTTTATATATTACTTCATCAGTGTAACACTTTTAAATGCTTTTATTGATGTCATTTTTATATATACTGTATTTGTATCAATACAACAGTTTATCTACTTTTATCAATTTAACATTTAAACTCATATCAATTTAAAACTTTGCATATACTTTTGCTAATGTAACTTTTATATGCTTTTATAGAATGTTGCCAATTATTTCCATATCAATCAATCAATCAATGAACACAATCACTGAAACCCCCAGAGCTGATCTCTGAACAGTCAGATTGGAGGATCAGAGATAACTGTTGAACAGACTTTGTGTTAACCAGCATCCAATCAGAACACAGAATCTGATGCATCTGCTTCGCAAAATGAACAAAACATCTACAAAAACACCGAAGCTGTGAAGTCTGACATAATCACCCTGAATATAAACAGAGCAGATTTACATGGACAGGAAAATAAAAACAAGAACAAAAAGCTCATTTCAAAGCGCTAACGATCAAATGCAGAATCTCACAAAGGAAAATGAAACTCATGGAAATACAAAAAAAAACAAGAGTTTCTTCGCAAAAGGTTCAATAGTCAAATTTTCTTCAGAATCACTTTAATCCCACACACACTCGCTCAACAACACATGAATATTAACGTGAACTGCACCAGCGATGGACCCGCTCAGATCAACAGATGTTAGAGCTCTTATGAACAGATTATGATGAATATCGCTCCACTGCACGTCTAGTTGACTATCTGACAGGATAAAAGATGCCTTTTTAATCACAAGACGCCCAAAAGCTGATGACTTTTTAAGTCTGGGATAAAATGTGTTCCGCCAACAGCAGATTCAATCATCTGACTAGAGGAGGCCGTGGCTTCAATTATACACACACCTCTGGCAATCACAGAGCCGTTTTCTTACTTAGTCTTGTTTCCGATTCTCAAATCAAGATGTTTTTAGTAAAGTAGTAAAAGATATTATGTCTTGTTTTCTGGGGAAATAATTCAAAATCAAGTGAGTTGTTGCTTATAAAAAGCTGCCAATGGGGTCAGATACACCAATATTAGGCATGTTCCTGAGGGACGCGAGCCGTCTGAAGCCGGAGCCGGACGGAGAACGACTGTCCTCTGCGACCATCAGCCGAATGTTGTGTGAATCTGAAGGGCGTTTATTCAAAATGCTTCACTTAAAAAGCCTCTTTAAACCCCCAGTGCGAGTCCATCTCCACAGGAGCGGCGGCGCTGCATGAGGAAGGGAAACACTCCGACTGCACAAGAGTTGTGTATTCATGAACCTGATCAACTCTATCCATCACTAAACACTCTTGAGTCACGTTTGCTCACACCAAACAACACAGTTCACCCAAAATGAAAACTATTGTGAGAAAAAAATTCAAGTTTTCAGAGTTTTCGTGTCAGTACTCCATTAAACTTCTATAAATAATGTTGAATATGATGTATAATCAGTGTTGGGGAGTAGTTAACTACAAGTAGCGACGCTACTAACTTAACCCTTGTGCATCAATTTAAAAAAGTTACACATAGGTAAAAAGAGGACAAAAATGTCCATGTCAAAAAACTGTCATAAAAACGTGACGCTTTGGAGCACAGACTTAAGTTTGGTATCATTTTAAAGAAGACCCGTTGCAGATTATTGCTGAAGTAAAATAATAATAATAAGTAAATCCAAAAAAAGTTATATAGGTATAAGTTTATGAAAATTATTTATAAAAAATATTTAATATAAAATATATATTTTTTTAAATCAGGTTGAACTCAAAACTGCAATAAAATAGGTTGTGTTCCAAATTTGAGGATGATATCTCAAAAAAATGAGCTTTCGGTAACAGTTTGTTTGGGCGTAGTAACATATTTTCCCCATTGGGTGGCAGCAAAACCCCACTGGAGCTCACAGTGATTGGATTTGAATTTGCAGTTTTTCTCTCTCAGTATTATAAACACACACATGCGCACACACACACACACACATATTTTTTTATAACACACATACTAACCACACTCTGACATCCATACCAACACACCCACACAAATATTGTTGCATAATTTATCCAGTTGGCTCTATAATATGCCGAAGCAGAAAACAGGAATAAAGCGATATTTGTTTTATTGGCCAAACTTAAAAAAAATGGCAACATCTGATAAAAAATTGTAAAAAATAAAATTTTGAAGCCTTGCCATCAGAATGAAAGCCTCTTAACAAAGATTGCATAATTTTATAGTTAACTGAACCGGGGATTAAAAATGGCAGTTTTAATGGGTGTCAATGGGGACATTTTTGTCCAAAAGGTGCTGAGAGGGAGCATTTTTTTTACCTGATGCAAAAAATATTTTTTTAAGAAAATGACGGTGAAATAGTAAAATTCCAATAAAAGTACACACCTGTGGCAAGTTTTTTGCAGTTAGCTTTAACACAGGCAAAGTGATCAAAAAAACAAAACTGAAAAAAGACAAAAATGTCCATAAGGATGCACAAGGGTAAACTACATTTTTCAGTAGTTTGGCAGTAGCTCAGTTGCTTTTTAAACAGTGTAGCTTTTCCAGTAGCTAACTACTTTTTGCAGCAAGTAGCGGTGTAGCTCGAGCGGTGTTTGTCCCTGCGCGAATCAGCTCGATGCTAGGATATCCTTCTTCTTGTTAGATTACAAACTCCTTTTTTTGCCATTACCGCCACCTGTTGTTTAATCACGCATCTTGCGGCTAACGGTTCACTGACGTACAGAAGTGTGTTGACAGTGACACAGCCATATTATGATTATCCATGATGGAGCAAGACGTGACGGCAGATTTGGAGGATGGAGAAACAACTAACGTTAATTACCCATGGCCTTATTTGTTCAAGTTCAATCGGTATTTTTGAGAAAATGTTCTACATGCAATTTACGTTGGATGTATATTTTTTTTCTTGCAATGTTGTAGGCTATTTGTTGTAATTTTTGTTCACTTTTGACAAACATTCTGAGATATTTGGGTGTTTTGTGTAATAAAACAATACTTTTTGAAATCATAATTTTATTGCATTGTTTTGTTTAAAACAATGCAATAAAATTGTGATTTCAAAAACTATTGTTGTCCCTTTCTGTCCTTAGACACTTATTCAGTTATTAATAATATACATTGTTCAAAAAAGCAAAAGTAGTTTCAATGTAGCTAGCTACTTTTTGATCGTAACTTGTAGTGTAGCTAACTACTTTTCCAAAAGAGTAGCTTGACTGTAGTTTAACTACTTTAACTTACGAGTAGCTTGTCAAACTACAGTTTCAGAGTAGCTTCCCCAACACTGCGTATAATAATGCAATGGGGGATATTAATGTCAAATGTCTGATGTTACCAGTAAAGAGAGGCAGACATTATTTTATATATCTCTAGTCAGAGACGGCACAAGCGCATTCGTCTGAAATAACTCAGTGTTTTCATCTTCAGAATCATGAATATTGTTATTCTGGCGTGTCTATCGTCTGTGCTTTGGGTTTCAGCACTGAGTCCAAAAGCCTGTTCATTTACACACACACACGATAATATAAAACTGAGCATTTTAATCAACAGTGCGAGTGTTGTTGTGTGGAGTATCGCAGTGATATCATATGGAGAGCTCAGTGTCGAGAGGATATCGCTACACTAAACCGAGCGAGCTCTGTCCGCGGATATAGAGGAATAACTCAGCTAATCATCAAACCAGGGGTGTGTGATGCAGTGTGTGTGAGATATAACTCTAAATAAAGGCAGTGTTGTGCGGAGTGTGTGTGTGTGCGCTCACCGAGCACCGCGAGCTCGCAGGACGCAGAGATGTTCTGGTGTGTGTTCTGAGCGACGCAGGTGTAGAGTCCCGAATCGTCGTCCGTCACGCTGGTGATCAGGAGGTTGCTGCCGCTCAACAGAGAGTACTTCTTTGATCTGAGAGAGAGTCACACACACACACACACACACACACACACACACACATCAGTCTGAGAGAGAATGAGAACGCAAACTGAAGCGAGTCACTCTGATCTTCTCCTCTCCATCGAAGCTTTAAAAGTTTATTAATGTAGAGATCAGCTGCCAAAATTTAAGACTATTCAGTTAGAAATTAATATTTTATTTTAATATTCATCAAGTATACATTAAAGACAGGAGAGACATTTATAATGTCACTAAAGATTCTGTGTCAAATCTTGAACTTTCTTTTCATCAGAGAATCCTGAGAAATAAAACGAATGACGGTTTCAGACAGATCACCGATGATAATCATAACTGTGTGTTGATCATCAGATCCTCATATTAGAGTGATTTCTGGAGGGTCATGTGACACTGAAGACTGGAGTAATGATGATAAACTCAGCTTTAATGTATATTCACACAGAGAACAGATGATTTACACTGTTTGTATGAACACAACACAATTTGTAGTATTTTTGATCACATAAATAAATATTCACATAGAAAACAGCTATTTTACATTTTAATAATATTTCACTTTTTTGTTTTGTTTATCAAATAAACAGCCATGGCAAGAGTAAATATAATGTATTTTATCTGCAATTTGTGTGTGTGTGTGTGTGTGCGTACCTGCTCTGGACGAGCTCAGTTCCTCTCATCCAGTGAAAGGTCGGGTTGGGGAACCCGGAGGCGGAACACTCCAGAACCGCGTCTGTTCCCTGAAGAGCCGAAACCTTCTGCGGCCTCTGGAGGAACACCAGCCCTCTCGCCACTCCAGGCTCTGCTCCACACACACACACACACACACACACACACTGATTGTTTACTCTGGCTGTGGTCAGGAAGCCTCATATGAAGGTATTCTGATATGAAATATGATGTTTTCCTCTCGTTCAGTGTTTCTGGATCCTGATTTAGGAACGTTTGGATATTTGTGCTGGAAAAGACACTAGCGGTGCGCGTCCACTACAGCGGCTAACGTCTCTGTTGCGAGTGTGTGTAATCTGATTATTGTTTCACCACACAGACATTATAGACCTTATTCAGAGCAGCGCCATGACAGGTATGAAAGTGAGGCTGTGAGGGATCTGCTATAAAAGCTGAATAAAGCGGCGAGATTACTTACAATTTTCCACTGCTTACATTATCGGGAGTTTTTTGTCAACTGAAATTTCTTGGAAAGATATCATGAGCAGAAAAGTCCAAAAACACAGTTCAGCCCATTGAAGAGATGCAAGTCTATCCCTCACAGCCTCGCGTTCATTCTCATTAAAAATCAAAGATGGCGCTGCCGTGAATAAGGCGTATAATCATCAGAGAGACGCGATTACGTTTGGAAATAGACGAGCTGTGTTTCCAAACGCCACAAGCACAGATCCCAGATAGCAAACTGACATTGAATCAACGTGGAAATATGACATCGAAACAACGTTGATCTGACATTGTTTTGCTCATCGAATTAACGTTGAACCAACGTCAGACGCGTCATTCTTTCAAAACTAACGGAAAATCAACTTGAAATCAACGCGTTGTTTCAACGTTATGAAAGCAAACCAATTTTCGATTTTCATTTAGCTTTGAAGAATGCCGCGTCTGACGTTGGTTCAACGTTAATTCGATGAGCAAAATCAACGTTGTTTCAATGTCATGAGAGACGTCGTTTCCACGTTGATTCAATGTCAGTTTGCTGTCTGGGATATCTGGTCAATTTGATAAACTTTTGTAAACCTCGCCAGTAAATCACAATAAACACATCCAAACACACACACACACTTTCTCTGGTCGAGTCTCTGCAGTCTGTGACCTATGAACTCTCAGGATAAAGCTGCTGGCATCGAGCACAGTTCTCCTCTACGCCTGCAGGAACGTTTCCCAGAATGCCCTGTTTCGGTCCGTCTGGGCCGTTAGAGACAGAAAACACACCAGTCCGTTCAGGCCGGAGGGGATTCACTCTTTCTCTCAGTTTCCCATCCAACACACACACACACACACACACACACACCTGAGAGCGATCAATCCCATCAGATCAATCTCCTTGATCTCCTTGTTCACACTAATACACATATTTTCTCTGTTTTGTCCTTCAGTCGACACAGAGACGTTGTTTTTATTATTGAACATCAGAGCTTTCTGACAACGCTCTCCGAAGTGGATGCACTTGAAAACGGTGTGTTCATGTTGTAGTGTGGACTGAGAAATTGAAAACCAATGACATCAGTTTAGTCATGTGACATGTTTATCCTGTTCTGTGCGATTTACTTTCACATGTCACAGTCCTGCTGAGATGACAGAACCGACTGCGGTAAAACACGAAGGCCACCGTATCCATTTAGCAGAAGCAACTTTAGAGATGTCCAAACTAAACCTGTGCTGAGAGATAAAGCTGGAATTAGAGCTGGAGTTTGTCTCGTTAAACCAAATGTGCCGTTGCTATGATCATGTCAGCAGGGTTCATCTGAATCTCAACGCAAGAAATGCAGTTTGTGCAATAACAAGCGTTTTCATGCACGTGTTTCAAGCAAAAATAAATAAATCAATCAATCAGGAGCGACTGCATTTCTCCTGATTTCCAGTCTTGCTTAAGGAGAGCATTAGTAGAAAATAAAGGAGGCTGGGATCATTAGCAGGACGCTGATGAGGTCACTGACTCAAACACGACTAACGAGTCATTGATCCTCCTACATTGATCAACGCATAATGTCAGAGCTGCAGAAATCATTCACGGAAAATGACTGATATTTATGAGATGAGCTTCTGCAACACTTTCACTTGTCATCCACCGGATGAAACACGATTTGTTCAAATATACGCTGTGAAACACTGTGTTTTGGGACGTCTGCCTTTACGTGCACATGACCTGTAATGACATCCCATTCCTGATCCGTAGGGTTTAATATGGAGTTGCTCCACCCTTTGCTGCAACAGCAGCTCCAACTCTTCTGGGAAGGCTTTCCACAAAGTCTAGGAGTGTGTTTATGGGAATATTTGCGCATTAGTGCGGTTCGGCACTGGTGTTGGATGCAGTGGTTAAAGTGGGATTTGTCAGGTGGGGGAACCCTCACGTGGGACAACAGATTGAGCAATACTTTTTGGGTGTCGCTGTGGCACCAAGTAGCCTGTCACTTATTTACTTGATATTTTAATGGTTTAATTTGGCCCATCTACACTGATTTAAGGACAATACTATGTTAAAATTGCTTACCACTGGGACAAAAAGTGGGGTTCGGGGCCTCCCCTGAGAAAATTTAGATTTCTCTGGCCAAATTATGTGCAATTTAAGACTTTTGAAGGCCAAAAGAAGAGGATAATAAATAGCTTTAAAACCATGTCAGTGGGCATTGGATTATTTTGTCAATATCCTGCTCTCTTCTCATCTACATCTTTCTTTTTCTCAGTCTCCTTATCCTGCCCTATTTCCCCCCCTCCTAAACTCCTAAACCCCCTGAACTTTGACTGATAGTCTTTCATTTTCGTCTGTGTCAGTGAAGTAAATAGGCTTAACTGATAATTATATGTTTTATGAATCATTATCTTAAACAAGTTAATTTACTCAAGGCCACCAGGTTAGTATTGCCACCTTCTATCAGTGGTGGAGGAAGTACTGAATCTCAGTACTGAAGTAAAAGTACAAATAACCAGATAAATATTTACTTTAGTAAAAGTAGAAGTAACACAATGACAACCATACTTAAGTAAAAAGTACCTGATTTTAAATGTACTTTAAGTATTAAAAGTAAAAGTACTTGCATAATTTATTTTCTTAATGTCTATTTTCTAATGATTAATAAAACATTTAATTCTAACTCATTCAACCTAATACTCCTATAATGATGTTCAATAATGATGGAAAAAAAATGTTGTCACCATTTCTGAAACAAGCTTGCAATTAGACAATATACACATCATGCTTATCCTTACTATATGTTAATAACTATGGCAGTAAACGCGATTCATTTATGGTGTAATTCTGAACCTCTTGGCTTGCCATAATCCTAACCAAACGTATATTACACACGGTGTGTTTCCTATGCACGTACAGACAAATTTTCGCATATAAATTGCACAATAAACACACTGCGTGCGAGACGCGTTTAGTGTGACCGGGTTGATATATCTATGGCAACCAAACGTCACTGGTGAGACAAACGTGCAACGAACGGACGGTCAGATTACGTTTTGGCAGGGGAAACACTGATCAGAAAATGTAACGAAAATGTAACAGAAGTTGTAGAAATGTAGTGGAGTAGAAAGTAGAATAATTGCTGCAAAATGTAACAAAGTAAAAGTAAAAAGTATGCGCTATTTATTCTACTTAAGTAAAGATACGTGAAAAATGTACTTAAGTAAAGTAACAAAGTATTTGTACTTCGTTACATTCCACCACTGCCTTCTACAAGCTTGGGAATTTAAAAAAGTAATTTTAAATAACACAAATTATATGCTGCGTTTAACGCAGTTGGTGGAATTGGCAGACGTTCCCTCATCATGCGCTGTGCAAACGCGTCAAAGCTTTCTCAGGTATAAATATGCAGCATTAAATGCACGCAGGTGATTTTTGAATATTAATGAACGAATATTAATGTCGATATACAATGGTTTGTTAAAACTAATCCTGCTATTGATCTCTTTGTAAGACTCTAGAACAGCGGCTATAGCGAAAACAAATATCAGGCGAAATATTTCAGACCTAAAACTAACTTTACCGCGCTCAACCACCGCGAGTGCATTTCAAGCATTTGTAAAGCCTTGTGTATATACTCGACGCGTCCGCACGAGCACGAGGATCAACGCGCACAAACAGACGAGGCGTTTATACTTTATACAGTTTATACTTTATATAGTTTATACTTTATATAGTTTATACTTTATGTGTTTATCGCTCGCGTTCAGCGGGGAGCAAGGGAAGTTGGTCCATATCAGGAGAAGCAAGATTCGTTGAGATTAATTAATCTATTTATTTATTAATTTATCTGAGGTGCCAAACCGCAGTTCCGGACCGTTCTGGCCCACTTTAACCCCTGGTTGGACGAGAAGTTCTCGGTCTCCGCTGTAACTCATCTCAAAGCTGTTTGCAGTATCTTCACATGCTTGACCCCTCTGCATCCCAGGCTTGACCCCTCTGCACCCCACGCTTGACCCCTCTGCACCCCACGCTTGACCCCTCTGCACCCCAGGCTTGACCCCTCTGCACCCCACGCTTGACCCCTCTGCACCCCAGGCTTGACCCCTCTGCACCCCAGGCTTGACCCCTCTGCACCCCAGGCTTGACCCCTCTGCATCCCAGGCTTGACCCCTCTGCACCCCACGCTTGACCCCTCTGCATCCCAGGCTTGACCCCTCTGCATCCCAGGCTTGACCCCTCTGCACCCAGGCTTGACCCCTCTGCATCCCAGGCTTGACCCTTCTGCACCCCACGCTTGACCCCTCTGCACCCCAGGCTTGACCCCTCTGCATCCCAGGCTTGACCCCTCTGCATCCCAGGCTTGACCCCTCTGCACCCCAGGCTTGACCCCTCTGCATCCCAGGCTTGACCCTCTGCATCCCAGGCTTGACCCCTCTGCATCCCAGGCTTGACCCCTCTGCACCCCACGCTTGACCCCTCTGCACCCCACGCTTGACCCCTCTGCATCCCAGGCTTGACCCCTCTGCATCCCAGGCTTGACCCCTCTGCACCCCAGGCTTGACCCCTCTGCATCCCAGGCTTGACCCCTCTGCACCCAGGCTTGACCCCTCTGCACCCCAGGCTTGACCCCTCTGCACCCCAGGCTTGACCCCTCTGCACCCCACGCTTGACCCCTCTGCATCCCAGGCTTGACCCCTCTGCATCCCAGGCTTGACCCCTCTGCACCCCAGGCTTGACCCCTCTGCACCCCACGCTTGACCCCTCTGCATCCCAGGCTTGACCCCTCTGCACCCCAGGCTTGACCCCTCTGCACCCCAGGCTTGACCCCTCTGCACCCCACGCTTGACCCCTCTGCATCCCAGGCTTGACCCCTCTGCATCCCAGGCTTGACCCCTCTGCATCCCAGGCTTGACCCTCTGCACCCCAGGCTTGACCCCTCTGCACCCACGCTTGACCCCTCTGCACCCCACGCTTGACCCCTCTGCATCCCAGGCTTGACCCCTCTGCATCCCAGGCTTGACCCCTCTGCATCCCAGGCTTGACCCCTCTGCATCCCAGGCTTGACCCCTCTGCACCCCAGGCTTGACCCCTCTGCATCCCAGGCTTGACCCCTCTGCACCCCACGCTTGACCCCTCTGCATCCCAGGCTTGACCCCTCTGCATCCCAGGCTTGACCCCTCTGCACCCCAGGCTTGACCCCTCTGCACCCCACGCTTGACCCCTCTGCATCCCAGGCTTGACCCCTCTGCATCCCAGGCTTGACCCCTCTGCATCCCAGGCTTGACCCCTCTGCATCCCAGGCTTGACCCCTCTGCACCCCAGGCTTGACCCCTCTGCACCCCACGCTTGACCCCTCTGCATCCCACGCTTGACCCCTCTGCACCCCAGGCTTGACCCCTCTGCACCCCAGGCTTGACCCCTCTGCATCCCAGGCTTGACCCCTCTGCACCCCAGGCTTGACCCCTCTGCACCCCAGGCTTGACCCCTCTGCACCCCACGCTTGACCCCTCTGCATCCCAGGCTTGACCCCTCTGCATCCCAGGCTTGACCCCTCTGCACCCCAGGCTTGACCCCTCTGCACCCCAGGCTTGACCCCTCTGCTTAGCCATGAAACCAATTCTAAAGACACACCTTGTTTGATTAATACTAGCATATGTTGTGTTTTGCTCTTTTTGCTGTGTGTACTGTGCTAGTCTAGCTGAGACTCGTGTGCAGCGTCTGATCCTACGGTTCTCCTCGGGTTAAAGTGTCTGATCCTACGGTTCTCCTCGGGTTAAAGTGTCTGATCCTACGGTTCTCCTCGGGTTAAAGTGTCTGCTAATGATCCCGCGAGACTCACCCGGTAGGACTCTGAGGTCGGCGTCTGTGCCGGTGCGGGAGCTTCCCGGGTTCTCCGCCAGGCATCGGTATGTGGCCGAGTCGGGCGGCTGAACCCTGCTGACCTGCAGCGACCCCGAGGGCAGGATGACCACTCTGCTCTCGGGGTCAAAGGTCAAGGGCAGGTCCTCCCGGTTCTTCTGCCAGCGCACCACAGGCATGGGCTCCCCGGTGACCTCACAGCGCAGAAGAGCAGTGTCACCCAGGTGCGTGGAGACCGACTCTGTGGGGACGACCACTCGCAGAGGACCTGAGGGAGAACACCACAGACACAAGAAGTGAGTGAGTGTGTGAATGTGTGTATATATGTGAGAGTGTCCCAGATAGCAAACTGACATTGAATCAACGTGGAAATATGACATCGAAACAACGTTGATCTGACATTGTTTTGCTCATCGAATTAACGTCAGACGCGTCATTCTTTCAAAACTAACGGAAAATCAACTTGAAATCAACGCTGTTTCAACGTTATGAAAGCAAACCAATTTTCGATTTTCATTTAGCTTTGAAGAATGCCGCGTCTGACGTTGGTTCAACGTTAATTCGATGAGCAAAATCAACGTTGTTTCAATGTCACGAGAGACGTCGTTTCCACGTTGATTCAATGTCAGTTTGATGTCTGGGGATACATTTGATTTGTAATGCACCTTACATTTAGAGCAAATCTCAAAGTGCTACAGTTTAAGATCATAAAAGCATTGGAAAAATAGACATAGATAGTAGTTAAAAAAGTCAAAAGTTCTGCTAAAAAGAAAAGATTTTTTTATAATATGACGTCAAGTTACCAAAACACATCATGATCTCAAACATGAACTCATTTACATGTGAACGCCCACTTTTAAACATCAACACGTGAATATTCAGTAACATTATCCATTTCACTGCACTGACACAATCAGATGAGAACAAAACTCGAACTGAAATATAGGCCACTTCTGAGTAAAAATCATCACACATCTATGTTGCTGTGTTATATAAGCGGTTGAAGTGAGTCTCAGAGGACGGAGATCTTGCTAATAACTTTTGTGACTGTGTGTTTATGTGGTTTGAGCCCCGTATTACACAAACTCGCAAGGGAACCACAATTATTTCTCCACTTTTTGCCAAGAAACTGTGTTTCCGGAGTCCTGCATCTTATCGCAGTGGTTATTGTTAACATCATTCCCTTAACTGCCTCCAATTACACTCAGCGCGTGTGTGTGTGTGTGTGTTAACTGAATAGCCTCAGGCCACACACACACACACACACAGCCGTATATAACCTCTGATTATCAACATCAGAACATAAACGAGGTCAAACGAGGGAAAGTGAAACAGATTGAGGCTAATATATAAATATGATTATCACTTACAGTCAAATCGTGAGATGTGAAAACTGAAAGAGACGACTGGAGCGGCATTCAGTCATCATTTACTCACACTCGAGTCTTTCATACCGTTCACATGTTCGGGGAGAGTGAGATTTTATCTTACTGTATGAGAGAAATTAACATTTTTATTCTCAAGGACGCATTGCATTGATACAAGTGGAAGAAAAGATCTTTATAACATTACAAAAGTTTCTATTTCTGTTCATCAGAGCTTCTACAGTATTCATCAAAAAATCCTGAAATGAAAAATGTATGAAGGTTTCCACATGAATCTGAAGCAGCTCAAGCGTTTTCAACACTGATGATAGTCATAAATGTTTCATATCAGAGTGATTTCTGGAGGATCATGTGACACTGAAGACTGGAGTAATGATGCTGAACATTCAGCTTTGATCAATTCAGGAATGAATTACACTTTACTGGATATTCACATGGAAAACTGATGATAAACATTGGAAAAAAATTCACTGTTTTTACTGTGTTTTTGATCAAATAAATATACAAATACAAATATATACTCTCTCTCTCTCACACACACACACACACACACACACAGAGAGAACATCAAAAACTTCTTTTGACTTCCGCAACACAAAAGAGTTTATTAAAACAATGAAGCAGAAGCCGGGAGAACTGGAGGGCTCATAATCTCATACGCATGTTATGAATGTGCTGAATATGAGCGTTTCCTGCGCTGATGAGGGACACGTTGCGGCCTGTGATTACAGAACTTCATTATCTGCTCTCATTAAGAGGGTGTTCATATGCAAATTAATGGAGAGAGCGTTTAAATCTAATTAACAGAGAGAGAGAGAGAGAAATGAGGAGTGCGGCAGAGGAATTATTCAGCTCCTGCATTCCCAAAATAGAGGAATATCACAGGAGTGTGTGTGTGTGTGTGTGTGTGTGAGAGAGAGAGAGAGATAATGGGTGAGGAAACTCAATCGACTCCTCCAGTCGTCCCTCATGCTGAAGGTGCTGTAAATCATTTCAGTTGTTTTACTCACAGCTTTTCTCTAAAACTCACATCAGGAAAATAAGAGAGTTCTGATCAAACTAAACCTCATTGTTCAGGGTGATTGACAGGAAAAGAGTGTTTCTGATTGGCTCCATAAGCACAGGCCAATCCCACTCGACACTCCTGTGCTGCTCAAACACAGAAATGAAAAAATAAATAGCTAAATAATAATAATAAATAAATAATACAAAATGTAAAATTAAATTGTAATTAAAATAATAATAAAAATAATATAAATTAAAAAAAAATAAATACAATTATATATATAAAATAAAAACAATGAAATTAAAACTAAATGAAAAACTAGATCCTCCTGCTGAATGGAGACAAAATCGTTTAGAGAAAGAGGACAATGATGAAGGCTTAAAGCAGAGATGGATGACTGAACTGATCTCTTCCTCATGAATTTCACCTGGAATCATTTGTGATGAATTAGACAGATCAATGCAGTGAAAGAGCGAGTGCTTCACTCTTCAGGAACCAAACCAGCACTGACGGATCCTCTCACATCTCTAAACAACACACCAGCGATCCCCACGACACGTGTCCAGCAACAGGTCTAACACGCATCACTAAAGCGTCACGCGACATGTGTTCTACAACGTCTAACAAGCATCACGCGACATGTATTGAGCAACGTTTAACACACATCACACGACACGTGTCCAGCAACACGTCTAACACATATCACTAAAGTGTCACGCGACACGTGTTCAGCAACGTCTAAAACGCATCACGCGACACATGTCCAGCAACACGTCTAACTTGCATCACTAAAGTGTCACATGTCACGTGTTCAGAAACATGTCTAACACGCATCAATAAAGTGTCACATGTTCCTCAACACGTCTAACACACATCAATAAAGTGTCACGCGACACGTGTTCAGCAACGTCTAACAAGCATCACGCCGCACGCGACATATTCAGCAACATTTAAGACGCATCACGTGACACGAATTCAGCAAAGTCTAACACGCATCACGCGACACGTGTTCAGCAACACGTCTAACACGCATCACGTGATACGTGTTCAGCAACATGTCTAATGCGCATCACTAAAGCGTCACGTGTTCTGCAACGTTTAACACGCATCACGCGACACGTATTGAGCAACGTCTAACACGCATCACGCGGCACGTGTCCAGCAACACGTTTAACACGCATCACGCGACACATATTCAGCAACGTTTAAGATGCATCACGCGACACGTGTCCAGCAACACGTCTAACACGCATCACGCGACACGTATTGAGCAACGTCTAACACGCATCACGCGGCACGTGTCCAGCAACACGTTTAACACGCATCACGCGACACATATTCAGCAACGTTTAAGACGCATCACGCGACACGTGTTCAGCAACACGTCTAACACGCATCACGTGATACGTGTTCAGCAACATGTCTAATGCGCATCACTAAAGCGTCACGTGTTCTGCAACGTCTAACACGCATCACGCGGCACGTGTCCAGCAACACGTTTAACACGCATCACGCGACACATATTCAGCAACGTTTAAGACGCATCATGTGACATGTGTCCAGCAACACGTCTAACACACATCACTAAAGCGTCACATGTTCAGAAACATGTCTAACATGCATCAATAAAGTGTCACATGTTCAGCAACACGTTTAACTTGCATCACTAAAGCGTCACACGTTCAGCAACAGATCTAACATGCATCATTATAGCGGCACATGACACGTGTTCAGCAACGTCTAACACGCATCAATAAAGTGTCACATGGTCATCAATACGTCTAACACACATCAATAAAGTGTCACGCGACACGTATTCAGCAACATGTCTAATGCGCATCACTAAAGTGACACGTGTTCTGCAATGTCTAACACGCATCACTCGACACGTGTCTAGCAACACGTCTAACACACATCACTAAAGCCTCACGTGTCACGTGTTCAGAAACATGTCTAACACGCATCAATAAAGTGTCACATGTTCAGCAACAAGTCTAACGTGCATCACTAAAGCGTCACTTGATACGTGTTCATCACGTGTTCGTCACGTGTTCTGCAACACATCTAACAAGCATCACGTGACACGTATTGAGCAATGTCTAACACGCATCACAAAACACGTATTCAGCAAAGTCTAACACGCATCACGCGACACATGTCCAGCAACATGTCTAACACACATCACTAAAGCGTTGTGCGTCACGTGTTCAGAAACATGTCTAACACGCATCACTAAAGCGGCACATGACACGTGTTCAGCAACACAGCACACAACACGTTCAGCAATATATCTCTAGCACGCATCACTAAAATTTCAGGCGACACGTGTTCAGCAACACGTCTGTCACATGTTCAGCAACATGTCTAACACGCATCACAAAAGCGTCACATGTTCAGCAACACGTCTAACTTGCATCACGCGACACGTGTTCAGCAACATGTCTAACCCACATCACTAAAGTGTCACACGACACATCTGACACGCATCACTAAACACAAACGTGACATCACAATGTCACAAACACTGAGTCATGGCTAGCGGCACCTCACACACATTCACAGTCAGAGCTCATCCGTTCAGCGTTTGATCTGTCTCTGCACTTCAATTACAAGCACAGAATAGCCCAAATATTTAAATATGCAAAAAATATTTGCATTTCACTTTGAAAACCTGTTTCAGGGAAATACAGACGAGGCAATTATCGGCAGGAAGGTCGTGCCGGCGGCACAAAGTCAAACAAACGGCACTCTCCGTATGACTGTTAACAATGATTTCTACATTTATCCGCCGTGATTATGCCAGTATTTTATCCGTCGACACAAAGGCCAAGACCTCGCAGACTAATTAAGATGCAATCTAACGACCCACAATGCTTT